ACGACTACTACTACTACTTCTCCTGCTACTACTACTACTACTACTACTACTACTACTACTTATTACTACTTACTACTACTTACTTCTACTTACTACTACTTACTACTACCTACTACTACTTACTACTACTTACTACTAGTACGACGACGACGACGACGACGACGACGACGACGACTACTACTACTACTACTACGGTCGAGACTGGTTCAGTCATAAATTCGAACTATTACGTGCACTGCTTTGCGCGGCCAAGGCTGTCATTGCTGTTTTTCTGATGTTTTCGCATAGATTTTGTCACTGATTGGCAATAACTTTCGGTGTCTTGGGTTGAGATGTACTAAGTTGCTTCTTTGACGGGTGGATGGGGTAGGACCGTGATCTTGCGGGAATCAGGTTAAAGACATCCTGTGCATTGATGCGCGGTTCTGCGCGGCGCACGTGCCATTCCCCGTGGGCATGTCGTTGCACTTTCGTGCTCGTGGCAATCTGGAGCGCCACGGGCTCCCCGATCAGTCGCAGTGGAGGTTGCTGTTTGTGCCATTTGCCAACCACTAACCCGTGGGTTTAGCATTGTGCTTGCCGGTGAACATGGTAGGGAAGAGTCTTAAGCGAGTGGCTTTTGTCCTTTGGCTCCGTATGCTAGCATCGCCCAGCAATGGAAAGGCTCTCGCGGCAAAGCTGAGCCGAACATCATCCTCCACAACGATGCAGGCCGCAAGTGGGAAATACCACACATGCGCGTTGTTCCAGCTGAGCGCGGGTGCCTTTTGGAGGGCCGGAAACGGCGGAAGACAACTCAGGCGGAGTCGTTGACTTTGGAGATGCTGTTAACAAGGTGTCTGCTTCTTGCGGCAAGGATCTTCCGGCTGTGCGCTGCCAGCAGGCTCGTGAGCCGACTGGGCTCGCCAGGAAATCAGGAAGCGCCGACGAAGCCGTGCTGAAACCCAGCACGACGGCCGGATCGATGCGCCTAATTCTGGCGGGCGAGGATGCAACAGGCAGAAAACCTCCTGCACCCCTCCGGCACCTCGGCTTGATTTGTGCTCTCGGCAGTCCTCTGAGTCTAGTGAGCCGACTGATTCATCCCCTTGACAAGCGCCGAGGACTCCGCCACCACCTGCCAGGCAACGGAAGGTACCTGCTAGGGTCTTGTCAAGAAGCTGTAGGGGCTGGCAAGTTTAACAAAGAATCATCATCGCTTGGCTTTCCCATATGCCTGAACCATCATGTTCAGGGCTGTTTTTATGCTGTTGGAAGGTCGAGTCCAAAGAAGTTCTGGATGACAGCGACGACGAGCGACCTTTGAGCACACTAGTTGATGCTGAAGATGCCCCCTTGGCGCAGTTGCTGCCGCACTTCGTCTGCACATATTCGTAGATTGTTTGCAAGATTAGATTCGTTGACAGCCTTCCATGAGGTACACAGTTAGACTAGACTAGCTTAGACAGAACGGATCCCACATCAGCCGAGGAGCTCGACGTGGTGGGGGCCACAAATGATTTCTCGAGCATGATGCGTAATGGATTTCGTTGCCAAAGGCATTCCGCAGACTTGTGGTATGGAAGAAACTGACAGGTTTTGTCTTAAGCAGGCCACTCTGCCGTCGAGATGTAGTGTCGAGTGAGTTCCACTGCGCGAGCGAAGCTGAAGCTGTTTGCGAAAGTGTGAGACTGAGGTCCTGTCTTCTATCGCAGCCCCTGGACAGCGCCGAGTTCCCGATCCGTGTGTACACCGCGGAAGAGGAGTGGGTCCATGTCAACCTTGGCCTTGCAGTGGAGGAAAGATGGAGCAGCCTATCTCATGTGAGGAAGAGGAGGAATCCGAGGATCCATGGTCGTCCTGTTCGGAGCCAGAAGCTTAGCGGTTCGAGATTTCAAACATGCCGTGTTCCAGGCAGCATCCGTTGAGCCGCTAAGGCCAGAAGATGGGGACCTCGTCGGCGGCGTGGAGGCCAGTCGCGTGACTTGATGCTTTTTCAACGAGCATGCAGGGGTATCGTAGATTATTAGCCTCCTCCACTTTCTCCTTCTACCGGGCTTTTCAGTCTTCTCCGTGACCTGCTGACATGGAGGAACACGTGATATGCATTGGTACGGGGAGCAGTGCTTGTCGGAGGCTGGCACCACGGAGCTGCTGTGGTGCCGATCCTCCTTTGGCCGGCCTGGCACCTGGATTTGCAGACCGAACGGAAGCGTTCAAGATCCAAGGACGGCGTGCCTCGTTAAGCGCTTGGTGACTTCGGTGTATCAAAGTTTGGGGTATACTATACTACAAGTATAATACGGCATCCCCAAAACTCTACCGCTTATTGGTGCAGTCTTCAGCTTCCGGAGCCTAGCCGCGCGATCAGGGGCTCCTCACGCTGCGACAAGAAGCACGTCGAACCTAATGCCAACTCCTCAAGCCCCAACCCCCGGTATCTTCAATCGCGTTCCATGGCTCAGGCTTTTGGCTGCGAGCTGATGTGTCTGCATCGTGAATTCGATTTTCCCGCACATCCTGGTAGATGATGCCAGATCCTCCACCTGCACGGAACAACAACAGTGACGCAAAGATAGCAAAAGCTCGGCTTCCCACAGATGAGAGAGATGGGGATCGGCCGCACTTCTCGTCTTGCCAGCTGCTTCTTCAATTGAACGGCGCATATGACGAGTGCACTTCCGAAAGTTTTGACCATGTACTTCAACTTGCCAGGCCACTGACAAAGCGTGCCCGGCATTTTGGCATGAGTCGTTGACGCATGCAGTTAGGGGTGTCAAGCCGGAAGACGCCTGCAACAAGTTCTGCAGCTTGGGATTATCATGCTCAGGACGGACAGCATCGAATTTCTGGGGTGCGTTATTTTTCAGGTTGTGCGTCTGTGTGGCTTTTTCTCGGGACATCCACTCAGGGGTGGAGTGGGCAAGGAGCAGCTGCGACTGCGCAAAAAGACGCGTGATGGTCCGATACTGGCAAGCCAAAGCCTGATCACTTTCACGGATCGTGAAAGGGCCAGCAAGCCCGAGCAGACAGGAAAGTGCTAGTTTTGGACGTTTTGGAGCTCTCTTTGTGCATAATTCATGACAGTGCAGTGGATCACCTTGTTGCAATGCCCGGGAGCCATTGACAGAAGGTCCCTTGGCTCTGGAAATCGAAATCGAAGCCTGACCTCTGTTGGCGCATGTTGTTGCTGTTGCTTCACCGAAGGGCCTAAGCCAGCAATGAGGTAAAACGCAAAATGGCTTTAAATGCAGCAACTGCTTTTGACCTCTCTTCTTTTTAGCGTTTCTTTGATGGCGGAAGCTCTTCCTGGTCCTGTGGAAGCTGCGAAGCCGGAGGAGGCCGGTGAGTTGAAAGTCAGCTAAAAAACTTAAAACAGATGCAGGAACTAGCCGCTGGCATGCATCGAGTATGAAACCTAAGTAAAGCCAGGTGACCCCATTGCCCGAAGTGCACTCAGTTGCAAAGCTAGCCATGGCAGGTGCGAGAAACCCGGCGTTCAGGATCGTTTCCTCCAGCGTGGCTGTTGGGAAGGTTTCGCCGTGCGGACCGCGCTGGTGATTGCGGGTGTGGGGGTTTTCCAGAGGATTTCCGAGGGCTTGGATGCTGTCGTAGTTGCAGCTGAACCTTCGGCATTTTTTGATGCACGTTTGTACTTGCACCAAAGCCTTCGCTCCGTGTGGAGTCTTTCAAGTAGAGACGGCTCTTGCAGTGTTTCTGCGATCATCGCAGGACTCAGGTGAAAGAACCAGCAGAAGCCTAGGCGGGGCCGAGTGCATGGCTCTGACACGCTTTGAAGCTGATGCAGTGAGAAACCGTTTGGCCGACCCAGATGCTAAAATCACAAGCGACGCGGAGAATGCGGAGAAGTCCGATGGTGCCATTTGGCGGAGATGGAAATCCAAGATGCGCATGAGCGAAGAGGCCTGCCAGTCTAGATCCCAACGCACAGTACAAAATCCACATTTATTGCCAAAGATCACTAAGTCCTAGATCGTATCGATGGCTCCCGGCTCAGCTTGAAGCCGCCTGAGTGCAACGCGCGTGTGAGGCTCTGGACTGCCTCGAGAAGGGCAGGGGGGACGCCAGCTCTGACTCTGTGCGCAGCCAGGCCTCGGAGAGGCTGGACAGCCTCTTGCGGGGGTTTCGGGGGTTTGGGTGCTGGGTTACGGCCTGGCCGCTTTCCAGGTCCTCCGATGTGTCCCTGACCTTCAAAGACGTTTCCTTCGACGTGAACCCTCGTGGGGGACAAACGAAGCAGATCTTGGAAGCTCGGCAAAGAGACGCACTGGAGCCTCGGCCGTGACGCCTGCCGCCTCAGGCGCCCATCTCCGGACACTTCGAGTCCGGCAATCTGGTGGCCATCATGGGCCCCTCTGGCTGTGGCAAGTCCACCCTTCTGGCTTCTCGGCGTACCCCAATTAGTCCCAGTCCATTCTTCAGATGAGCGTTGTTCTTTTTGGTGGGTTCTTTTGACAATACTAGGAGGGCGATTAGCGAAAACTCGGACGCTTAAAAAGTGCACACCCTTTCGATCGCGCGCAAGGGCGCGCAAGGGCGAGCGCAAGCTATGCTCAAGGCTTGTTAAGATTGGTTCAAGAGTGATTCTGAGCAGCATTGTAGGTAGATTAGCCTTGAAGCCCCAGTGTTCTACCTGCAGCCGAAGCTTAGAGGCGAAGCGCACGGGATCCTAATTGGCATGCGTGGAACAAGGATATAGATGATATAGAACAACCCTCAGATATCACGAGTTGCATCATCTCTAAGGACATCCTGGCCGACAAGACGCTTAGCTTCAAGATGTCTCATGCACCATCAGCCAAGCCGTCCTTCAAAGCCGAGGAAAACAGCAGGCTATTCTGGCACCGTCCACTTCAACGGTCGCCCCCGAGACCACTTGTTTCCGCGGGTCTCTGCGTACGTGCCGCAAGAAGAGGCGATGCCGAAGTGCTTGACCGTCATGGAGGCCGGTGCACAAGCCATGGTATCTTAAATACCCACTATGGTAACCTAAATTATCCTAAGGGGAACTGATCTCTTTGTACATAGGGCCATAGGCCGGGTCCGCGTCTGGCTGACGCCACTCAGTTTTCATCGAAACGATCCTTTCGCGTTTCATATATAGGCCCAGAGGCAAAAAGCGGCTAGAGATGCGGGCTACCGTGATGAGGCGATGGAGTTCAATATCCGCCTCAAGTTCGAAAGGCGGGGTGGGAGAGGGAGACGGCTTGGCATCTGCTCTTCTGGAAGAATCGAAGAAACCCCTGAAGCTCCGAGGCCGAGCCAGATGACCCGGAAGATGCAGCAGCTCTGGCTGGAGCGGCGGCTGGCCGTTCTGGGACTCGAGAAGGTGAAGGAAACGAGTGAACAGAATGACGTGAGGGTTCCTCCTGGTTTGGGGGCTTTGGCGAGCGTTAAGGGTTCGGGGTTCTGGGTTTCGTCTGGTTTTGTTACCAGACTCTCTTTTAAGGGGGCTTGAGGGCCTCAGGGGCTTAGGTGTCCTTTATGAGGGGCGCCTGACTTTGGAGTCTCGGGAGCTAGGGCTAGGGCTTCGTTTGGCGTTTATTCTTGCTTGCAGTCAAGCAGCGACGAGTTTTGTGAGGACCACTACATCGGCGATGGCCATTCTTTGCGAGGGATCTCTGGTGGTCAGAAGAGGCACGCAGAAAGACGCAAGTACTGTGCAACAGATGTCGTGTCAGACTGTCACGTTGAAGTGTACACATCTATAAATCTGAAAAGCGCCGGTTCTTGTGATCCCCATGTCTGATACAGGCGTCTTTCCTTGGCGAAGCGCCTCGCAAGCGGTGCACGCGTGCGGGTCCCAAGCATCATCAAACCTTCCGAGTTAGTTTCGGTAATTCGTCATGCAACACTTTAGACTTGGTCGTTGTGGTGTGTCGGACTCTACACTGAAGTGCAGCAGATGATGTCCTGATGGCGAGTACTTACGAATACCTGCTACGGTAATGCAGGCATACCTGCGGCTGAGCTGGCTGCTGTTAGTGTCAGGTGTTCTTCTGCGACGAGCCTACCTCTGGCCTCTCAGCGACAGATGCGGAAGCTTGCGTAAGGCGTGGAAAAGCGCACCAGCACACAGTGGTCACGACCTTGCAGTCTTCAGTTCAACAGCCGCTGCAAGAATTGCCACCCAGAGCTCATAGCCAGGGGAGAGGAAATACTGCTCGCAAGTTAACGCCTCCTGCGGACAGGTACATGAAGCATATGTGCAGGTACTACAACATCCTGGTGCTCGTAGCTGCTCGCTTGCAAGTTCGTCCGCTATTCATGTTTTGCGATGTTGGTGCTTTTCATTTTGCTAAGCAAGCCTTGCTAAATCTGCCCAGGTGATACATCAGCCCAGGATAGAGGTGGCTAATTTATTCGATGAGCTACTGCTGATGACCTCCGGCCCTGGACGCGCCGTCTACAATGGCAAGATGGAGGACTGCATCAGTTTGCTGAGCTTGTTTCAGAAGCTTTCGCAGCAGCCAGTCACCTGCAAAGGACGTCATCGACTATCTGCGCAACGCAGGCTTCGAAGTGCCACTGCATGCCAACCCGTTGGACTTCTTCATGGACCTGGTTACACCGGAGCGCCAAGACGCGCGAGTGGACACGTTTGTGCTGCAATACCGCTGCTAGGTCGCACTTCTTCTCAGGGTGATCTTGACGGTCTTTGTTTTAACCTTCTGCATGCTGTCATTCGCCGTACGGGAGGCAGATGTAAGCCAAGGTGCGAAAGCCGAGCAAGAGGTGGGTGTGTGAGTGTGGCGATAGGTGTATTGAGGGTACGTGTTGTCTTTCAAGCTCAGAAGATCAAACCATCCTTGTGACATCAGCCGCAATGTGCATGCTCTCTCCTGCACCTCCAAGCCCGCAGGCTGCAAGAGTATCACGAAGCCGTGGTTCGTCTAGCACACTGTTGACAATCATACCAATCAAGGAGCACAGTACTAGCAACAGTTGTAGCAAAAGTATGATCAAGCTACCAAGCAGAGGTTGCAGGTTCGAGATAGATGTTATGGTTATAGACAGACAGAAGGACCGAAGGAGACAGACTTTTAGATACCCAAGTACAGGAATCCAACAACTGACGCCCCTCGTCTCAATAGCCCGCCCCACACAGACAGGCAGAGACGCGCAGTGCGCGCACGCACGCACGCACACAAGCTTGCATGCTGGCAAGCTCGCCTGCACGCACCCACACCTACGCACGTGCACGCGCATGCACACACACACACACACGCTATAGATACTGTAAGGATCCCTTTTAAGGAACCACAATACAGCTAGAAACCCGCCCGGGAGGTCGCCGCGCGCGTGGAGGCGGGGCTCCAGGTGGAGCTGGTCGGTGCCTTCCAGCAGCCCGGCTGGGACTTGGGTTTAGCGTTCCGGGATGTTCCGGGTTTTAGGGTTTTTAGCATTTAAGATTTAGGCTTTCTTTTAGGGGTCAAGGCTAAGTTTAGGGTTTCAAAGGGTTTGCCAACGAAGCGCCGCGACCTGAGCGGTCGTCCATGGCGCACTGCGCGCAAGCGAAATCGACGAAATCCCCACCCGAAGGGGGTTTCAGAAGTTTAGTGGTTTTGCGTCTTCATCTGTGTGTCTGGACACAACAGGTCAAAACAGCACGCCAAAGTCACTATGTGGAGGGCTGCGGCGTCCAGATGGGAACTTCGCATTATAGGGCTTTCGGATTTTGGGGCTTAGAATGTTGAAACAAAGGAGGATGTGGGAAGTTGATGTGGCCGCCCAATGACAGGAAATCCACACATGCAAAGCCACGATTTCACAACACACGCTTCTTTTTGAAGAGCCATATTCGGCCCCGGTGGTTCAAGTGTCTAAAAATGTAGGGCATGGGGCAGGCATGGTGCCAGTCGCCCAGCTTTACCTAAGCTCCGCGTACGCGTTCTTTGCAGCTCGCGAAGCCCAGCCCGCTTTGGGCCCCCGTGTGGCGGTTGTCGACATCTTGGAGGGTTAGCGGCTTTAGGGTTTATGGCTGAGTGTTTAGGCTCAGGGTTCAGGGTTCAAAATTTAAAGTGTTGTTGAGTAGTTTCATCGATAGTTTCAGTACCGCGAAGCGATGATTGTTGCTGTGATTCTGGTTCTTTTCAAAACGCTATGGAACATTAACCAGTTGTTGCTACTATTGATGATGTTTGGGGCAGAGAAAGTGTTTCGGGTTTTGACGTTTCGGATTGGGGGGCTTTGACAAAAAGGGTGCTTTCGACCTCATGCCAACGATGCCCCCTTAATCCAAAATTTGCCCCCATGATGGCGGAGCGGACGAGGTTTATCCCAAAGTCTTGGGGCTCACGATGGTAGGTGCGCAATCACATGCTCACAGCTTCCCCAATCACAAGTTTGTTCCAAACTGGAGCTCCATGTGGGACGCCTAGTGTTGCAACCTCTCGAAGTAGAATCTGTGCTGAGAAGGGAAAGCTTAGCCCCGGATAAAACCCATCATTTGCTTTTTGACGGTGTCGATAGGACTGAGGGTTCACAATACATAGTAGGCGAGGCACGACGAACCTTGTTCTCTTGAGCCCGAAGCTGCAGCATATCGGCAAGCCCCATGACCATCCCATGACCCAAAACTTAAATGCCGCACTAAACCGAATCCCGAAGTCCCAGACCCCCACAGAGCCTAAGTGAAGCCACAAGCAGCTTTAAACGCCTTGCACGATTCAGGCTACTCCAGGAAGTGCATTTGTACATGCAAACGCCACGGGCTCGGAGATTGATATGGTTGAAAGGCACGTGCGCCTTGTATCCACGTAACATCCCTGTACGGTTACATACCTACATGCTTGCACATGGGTGCATATGTTGATGTCTGGTTGATCAGTAGGCAAGCAAAGGAGCATGCTGAGCAAGTAGATGCGCACATATGGACATGCCCAAGCATTCAACACATGAACACAAAAGCCAATGGAATCAATAACGCATTCAGACACGTGCATGGGCACGTGTGTGGCAACCAAATGCAACCAAGAGTTGCAACCACACATCGGGATTTTTCGATGCTTTGATTGATGCTGCTTTGCGAGCTTTTTGGAAACGGGACGATGTCTCCGCAGTTTCGAGGTGGGGCAGCCTGACACCACTGCGGGACAGCCACCAGGCTGAACGGATGTTCTAGGACGCGTCGCAAGCAAAGGGGTATCAAAGCAGAAAAAGCCTTCCTGCCTGTTCTGAACGTCTGGCAGTTGGAGCATCTCGGTGCATGCATTTGGCATCTCACCAACAGGCATCGCACATCCAAGGTGTTTATGCCAGACGCTTTCGCTCACAGCTCTGGGTCGTCTTCAAGCGTCAGGCAGGTCTTCGCTCCGCAGTCACGAATCTTGACCGTGCTGTTGTGAAACCCATGACCTTCATGGGCCAACGTGTGCAGGAATGTCCCGGACATGTGGTCTGAGTACTGTTAATGCATCTAGTGTACTCCTGGTTCGAGATCTGGGCAGTTGATTCTACGCTCACGCGACAAGAGCGGCTTTCTTGCCGATCTGCTGCGCCCTGAGAGCCAGCAACATCAGCAATTGCCTAACTCAAAAAGCTCTTGGCTCTTGGCTAAGGCTCGGTGGCCTGGCGAAGGCCGCAGTGCAAGTGCGGTTTTTGTGTAGCTTCCGTGTTTCCTTCTCTCTTTCTGTTATCTTTGTCTTTCGAGGCTCTGGTGGTCGGCGTCGTCTACATGCGAACGGGTGAGCTGGGCGCAGCGCAACAAACCGCCTTCTTTTTCATGCTTCTTGGCCTGCCTTGGCCGCCTGGCATGAGGGCCGCGTCGCGTGGCTTTGCTGCGAGGCTCTGTATGACCTGCGCCATCGACGGCCTGAAGTGGCAGTCTCAGTGAGTCGCATGCTTTTCCCATATTGGCTTCACCTTTGAGTCTGCGAGTCCATCGTGCGAGCACGTAGCTGTGGATTTACGGTAGGGCTGTGCAAAGGGTGCTGGTTTTAGCCGCCCAGCTGCCCAATTTCAAGCACGTCTTGCCACCTGTAGATATCGGCATTCTCTCGGCATTGGAGGAGCATGCCTGCGATCATCGGTGAGCGCAGCATCGTCAAGATGGAGGCAGCAGAGGCTTGGGCAGTGGCCTTTTTACATGGCATTCACATGGCCAGCATGGACTGCGAAAGAGTCTTGCTACAACTCGGCGTCATATTCTGCACGTGATCGGTATTGGGAGGCTGGGACGGGGTCTCAGAGAAAAGCTGTTGACTTTCTTTATCTTTCGCTGCCAGGTGCTTTACAGCGAGTGGGCTCTGAGCTTACGAGAGGTATGACGGAACGTGCTGTTCTAGGCCCTTGCGACGCGTAGGAGTCGTAGGACAAAGCGGATTTGATAAAAGTGGGGAGCTTGACTTCGGCAAGCTATCAAAAAGACAGTTGTCGCATCGGCTGCCAGTCCGAGGCCTACATTTTCTCGTTTGGAGTCTTGAACACCTTGCAGATGCTGCTGGTCCACAGCAGCTTGCTTGGATTGATTTCAGAGTCTAAGCAGTCGGCTGCTCAGTGAGGTGTCTTATGTCTTTCCGTCAACTTAGGCATCTTCATCACAGTCCTCTTTGCCATGAGCGGCTTGCCTCTTGGCCTGGACCACGGGAGCAGAGCCACGCCTGCCAAAACCCAAAGCCCCAAACCCTAAACCATAAACCCTAAACCCTAAACATCCCCCGGTCGCACAGCGAAGGAGATGGCAGATGTACGCTGATGTCTATCTGTGGTCAACTTTGCTGGCTGTCGCTAGGCTGATCAAGGAAGAGGGTCGTGTCATGTGCAAGTTGAAGATGTGCAGTGGCTATATGCCAAGGCCACCATGAATGCTCTTTACCTCATGGTGGCAGCGATAGCCAAAGATGCCACCTCCGCGATCGTTTTCTCTTCCCCGTTTATGACACACTCTCAGTTTGAAAGGAGCCGTTGCTTGTTCTGGTGTGAGCATCTGCCTTTTTTCAGGATGCTCTTCTTGTTGTTCAATGGCTTTACTGCAACGCGATCATCTGTCGTCCCATGGATGAGAGCCTTTATTGCACGCTTTCTCATTTGCTGTGACACATCTAGCTTCAACTTAAGCATGTCGGTGTCAAGGATGGGCCATTGATATTTCCCCGGTGGCATACAGCATTCAACAAATGGTGTATGCGGCAAAGCTGCTTTCCTGCAGCATGAGCACTTTCCCTTGTATGTTTCAGGAACAGTTTGGAACGACTGTCGGGATGGCATCTTTGAGGCACACATATGCCGACGACGAGAACCTCGTCAAAGGCGGCTTGCTGTCGAAACTGCTGCACACTTGCCTGATGGTGGCGACCAGACCTGGAGCATTGTTAGACATTGCAGGCTATGAGGGTGTGATCCAGATGTCTGAATACAAGGCCCACTCAGTGAGAAGTGAAGTTTCGCTGATTCACAACTATCTAGATTATGCTACTAGCCGTTGCGGAAAGTGTCTTCGGCCGGTGTGGTTGAAGGACCAACCGACCAGAGCGATCGCTGTGGTCGCGATCTGCTTTGGCATCTTCAAAACTGTGCAGCTGATGCCTGCATGCATGCTACGGTCTGTCAATGTTTGCTGATTTGGTGCTGCTTTCCAGTGAAGTGCACATCTCGATTTCTCAGAACTGTTGAGCAAGGACGGCGTTCCGACGGCTGAACAAGATTCAGAGATGATATTCAAGCCGTGGCGTTTAGCAGCTCGTCTGCAATGTCGCTTGGAAGTGTGACCTAGGCTTGACACAGATGTTGGCACACTCCAATTTCCCGGTTGACTTCCGAGCTGACAGTGCCATCGTAAGCAGACAAAAGGGCAGGTGGATTTGTGTTTCATGACTGGGTGGAGCCTGCGTTGCGGATGGAGTACTATGGATTAGACACTCTTTGAGAGATCGATGTTGGCGTTGTGGTGTGGGACGGCAGCAGCATCAGCATCAGTAGCTGCAGCGGCATCCCAATAAGAGCAGCAGCAGCAGCTGCAGCAGCCGCAGCACGACGGGAAATTTCCTACAGTGACATTGTATTATAGTCTATTTTATTTGTATATCACTATACATAGTATGATTTCGTTTGTAATCGTATGTTTCCGTCCGTTATAGTATACTATAATACGTTATCACAAGCATGTTCATGCTGCCCTCAGGCCTGGCTTGGACTCTGACGGTCAACGATCACTTCCGCAGTTTCGCAATGTCGTTTTGGCGTAATATGGCCTGGGTTCAGGAAGTTCAGGGTGAAGGGCTGCCACACAAGTTGGTCAATGGCTGCTGGAGGAGGAGGTGCCGAGTATAAGCTACAAGTTAACCTTTTGTTCTCGGCTGTTCAGCCTCCTCTGGGAAGTCGAATACACCTAATTCACTTAATTCACTGCACAGCGTTGCAGAAGTGAACCTCCTCAACAACTGAGGGGAGAGGCTTCTGCCACCGTGTTGCATGGGACACGGAGGGCCGGACCCAGTCGCGGCCAAATTGTAGAGAAGCAGAGGGTAGCCTTCTGAGAAGGAGCACCCATGTGACGTGGCTTCTCGGAAGAAGAAGGGTGCTCTCCCTGGTTTGCGGAGGGGCTAACACCAGCCCATAAAGCCTCCGAGCGAGGGATCCTAACTTGAGTTCTGAGGATGTCTCGAAGCCCCTGAACGACGGCCAGCAATGGCTCGCCATGTGAGCCGGGCTAAAGTCCCGCAGATTTTTCGCGAAGAGCAAACGAAGAGAAATCGCAGTGCTGGTTGACCGAGGCTTGTCGTTGTGGCTATTCTTGATGGTCATGCAAGTAAGAGCCAACAATTCAACCCAAACAGTTGCTGAACCATGGCAGCAACAATAGCGCGTGATAGTAGCGGTGGTAATATTGACAATCGCAGTATTATTCGGTTCATAATTCATAACAGTAGCTTTCGACAGCAACCATTTGGAAGACATGCGTGAGGACAGAGGGATATTACTGACGCGGAGGCGGCGACGACAAGAAAGGCGCATAGTGAAGCTGGGCGTAAGGTGATATGAGAGTGGTGCGGAATGGATCTCGGCGAATTCTTTTTCGTGGCAAGGCTGGCAGGGAGGTTAGTGAGGATGGCGTGAGGATGAGAGGCAATGAGGATGTGCGCACATCTATTCATAGTCGAGTGAGAGCAAGCCACAAGAATGAGAAATAATGATAGGAGTTGCGGGACACGGGCGGGGATGGTGAGTATCGGAGTGAAGATTGAAAGGACCCGCGTTCTCCGGTACTGTACATCCTGCATAGAGGGCGGAATGATTATGACGGGGCAGATGACGACGACGACGGCAACTCTTGCTTTTCCAAAGGCTCAGGGGATGGCCATCACCCGCTTATAATACTGCATATTGTACATGAAAATAAATAATTATACTATTTGCTTCAGCATTAGAACAAGCTAGTAATCTCGTGGGCCTTGAGACTTAGCAGGGTTCAGGGCGGCCTGCTCCAGCGATGGCTGCGCAGGCCTCTGAGGCACTGCAGTGCGTTGGGGCGACTCGGAGACAAAGGAAATGAAAGGAAATCCAAAGACTCCAATATCCCTTAGTTAAGGAATATACCTTAAATTCCAGTAGGATCCCTCATGTGATTTAAGGTATATTCCGTAATTAAGGGATATTGGAGTCTCTGGGAAATCCACAGGAGTAGGGCTTCAGTCGTTCCCAGCTTGCGTTCGATGCTCCGAGGCAAGGTTGCCGGTGGAAGTGGGGTTGTGCACGGAGCTATACGGTCCTAGACCAGGCCTAGTGTAGTGACATCGATCTAACCCGATCTGTGATTTTTTGTGGTTTCTGGCAATGAGTCCGGCAGGTGAGCAGGGCAGGGGGCGGGCAGCTAGCAAAAACAATCAAAAGCAACAAAACAACCGCCAAAACCGCATTCCAGGGGGCAGGGCAAGGGCAGGTACGGGTGGGCAGGGGCAGCAGCCCAGACAAAAGCAACAACACAACACAAAAACAACCGCCAAAACCCCACAAAACTCGGGACCCAAACCCGATACCACTTCCAAAAAATCCTAGACGCTAAGTCTTTTGAGATCTCTTTGGGACCCGGGAAGCCCGGGAAGCTCTGGGCCGCCAAGGAGGCACTGGGCCAGGCCGAGCGCGCCCTGGAGGCCTCAGAGAAGAGGGAAGTTTAGGGTTCAGGGGTTTAATAGGGTTAGTGTTTAGGGTTCAGGGGTTCGGGGTTTTGGGGTTTGATAGGGTTTGGGTTTAGGGTTTAGGGTTAAGGTTTTGGGATTTAATAGGGTTAGCGTTGAGGGGTTAGGGTTTAGGGGTTTAGGGGTTTTGGGGAAAAATAGGTTTTGGGGTTTAGGGTTTAGGGGTTAGAGGTTTTGGGGTTTGATTGGGTTAGGGTTTAGGGTTCAGGGTTTAATAGGGTTAGTGTTTAGGGTTTAGGGGTTTAGGGGTTTAGGGTTTGGGGATTTAATAGGGTTTGCGTTTAGGGATTAGGGTTTAGGGGTTTAGGGGTTTTGGGGAAAAATAGGTTTTGGGGTTTAGGGTTTAGGGGTTAGAGGTTTTGGGGTTTGATTGGGTTAGGGTTTAGGGTTTAGGGGTTTAGGGTTTAGGGGTTTAGGGGTTTTGGGGTTTAATAGGGTTCGGGTTTAGGGTTTAGGGTTTAGGGGTTGTGGGGTTTAGTAGGGTTAGGGTTTAGGGTTTAGGGTTTAGGGGTTGTGGGGTTTAGTAGGGTTTGGGTTTAGGGTTTAGGGTTTAGGGTTGTGGGGTTGCATAGGGTTAGGGTTTATGGTTCAGGGTATGCTATACCATGATACACCAAACTAAACTGTACTAGATAATACTAAACCATTCTATACACAGGTATTCTAAACTCAACTATACTATACTCTAGAGAAGAGGGGAGGAAGAAGCTTCCAAGGCGTATGGTGATTGTAGGACGCTACTATTCATGCTATACTATGCTAGTGCTAGGCTGTACTACTCATTCGCTATGGTTATACTATACTGTACTGTCCTAGAAACTATACTACATTATTCTATACTATGCTATACTATAGGATACTATACTATACTATACTATACTATACTATGCTATAATATTCTGTACTATACTATTTAGGAAGTGCAGGGTTTAGGGGGGCTGTCTGGAGCTCAGAGGAGTGAAGGGAGAGTGCTTGACGGAGGCTGCCATGGCCTGGGAGCTGCGGACGGCCAAGGAAAGCCTCGGTTCTGAGCTATTATTATTATTATTATCATTATATTATTGTTATTCTTGTTATTGTTATTATTATTATTATCATTATATTATTGTTATTCTTATCATTGTTATTATTATTGTTATTATTATTGTTGTTATTATTATTATTATTGTTATTATTGTTATCATTGCTGTTATTATTATAATATTATTGTTATTATTATTGTTATTACTATTGTTATTATCGTTGTTATGATTATCATTATATTATTGTTATTATTGTTATTACTGTTATTATTGTTATCATTGCTGTTATTATTATTATTATTATATTATTGTTATTATTATTGTTATTATCATGGTTATTATTATTACTAAAATATTGTTATTATCATTGTTATTATTATTATTATTATTATATTATTGTTGTTATTGTTATTGTTATT